TCTGAAAGGACCGCAAAAGACTTGCCAATGTGTCAAGTTTGTAAAAAGCTGTGTATTTGTAAGGAAAGTGAATTTTCAGCACAAAGCTTTTTCTCTGAAGTGCTGTTTCCTGCTGTAGAGTGAGAAACTAACGGGCAGCTGCTTAACAGAAACAGCAAACTACCTCGATGTCATGGCCAAACGCAAGTATGACGCTGAATGTATTAAACTGTGTGGACCTTGAGCTAATGACTAAGGAGAAATCTGGACCTCATGGCAGGACCAGTTGGGAACCACTGGTTTACAGTACCTAACATTAATGACAGGCTAACTGTTACCCATGAATACTTGTGCAATCATGTGAGCTAGCTAACATCGAAGCTGCTTTTTTCACATTGTTTTTTAACTTTCAAGCAAGAGACTCTGACACACCGTCCATCTCAGAAACCACCAGCTAAAGTGCAGACACTCCTAGTCATGATACATTTGCTGGTGACTTAACAGCTACAGCCAAGTGCAAAAGAGAGAAGACCCAAAAATATTTAGAGGATTACCTTACATTCAACTTAGTTTTATACAATAGGCTATATTTAGTGGGGGTGCCTGCTCTGTCTCTCTTTCAGCTAAGGGATCCTTGGCCTGAAAAATGTTGAAGACCCTTGGGCTAGTGTGTAGAACTTAGTGACAGCTATGATTGTGATGTGGCTGATGCAAAAACATGATTGGTACTATCTAAATCAAGATCCAAAATGAACACCTGCCAAGCGTCCAAATTGGTTAGATTTTCCGTTCTGCGAGTAAATCTCAAAGGGCTACCTGCCATAGTGGCGGGTAGGTGTTAGACATGCAACAAAACAATTAGTCACTTGCAGTCCATTCAGAATGGACCCACAGTGCACTTTTGGATCATGACCCACCAGTTGGGAACCACTGCATAAGGCTACCGCATAATGTACAAATGGGGCTACGCTACCGATAGCTATTGCTCAATTGGAATGTCCTTTTTGGTCCAAAGATACATCTTATTGCAACGTTTTATGACCATACTTGTGACATAACCCACTAGTAAGGACAGTATTACTATTATGTCTGGATTCTTTTGGGTCAAGTTTTACCACTATACTCAATCTTAGAGCCAGAAAATTAATATTTAAGCTAGCCTGGGTACAACTGAGAGGGTGGGAGCTGCAACCATCCACTAAAAATCCCTTTGATGGAATAATAGTTCTCTAAATGACTACCAAGAGAGATGGAACAAAACCTTTGATTGCCTCAAGAGAAGACTTCATGTGCTTCAAGACTCAGCTGAGGTGATTGCTACCTGACCTGATTTCTATCCATTCAGCTTCATCATCAAGTGAGCAGCTCTACATTGTTATTTAATGTGGCAGAAGACCGTCACACATAAAAGATTTTATCAAGGCTACCTACAATGAGCTTCTTCATTACATTGAGCTTGTTTTACTCATTCGACTAATTATAGGGTCTTCTCTCCTTCAAGCTGAGCTGATCTGAATTAGCATAATGGGAAGCATGATTATTCATCATGCAGGCAGGCGGGCAGGCGCAGGACCCCTGGGTTCAACACTGGATAGAGTATCTTGAGAACGAGCTCGGCCCTTTTGGCTGTAATGAGTGAAGTGATTTGAGGGTGGTGCGAGCGAAAGCAAAGTAAAATTACTACTACATCCTTCAGCTAAATCAGGAATATGAATTAGATAAGATGCTTACCATGGTCATTTATTATGCAATTGATTGCATGGCCCAGAAATGAAGTGTTTGCCATACTTTCTAACACTTACTTTTTATACAGATACAGATGTTGTTTCCTAAATTAGATTTTTATTTATTTATATATATTTTTGTAAGACAGCAAACTCCTTATCGGCACTTGTAATCTGTCAGATAAGTGATAACTTTTTCATTACCTTGCTCGAAATAACCCAAGTGTCTGAATTCAGAGTTGAGGTGTTTACCATTAATGTAGTACTGGCAGACTGGGCCATACTCCTCTGAGGTAAACTGTCTTTAAGATAATCATAGTGTCAGAAGAGTCATGAAGAAAATATAATTTCAAGCAGTGCCCCCCAAGTAGGCTACAACTAGCATGGCATGGCCATTGTCGAAGGGGTCCCTTGAACTCTCACTGCAAGATGTCTAAATAAAAATGGGTCCTACGGGTACCACGAGTCCTCCCTACTTGAGAGGCCTTGCTCCCAGTGAATATTTCGTTCCTTACGATCAATTGTACTCCTTCAAATTAAAGCTGTATATTTGTCTGTTTAAGGAAAAGGACAACCAGCCTATCTGAGGAACAATGAATCGCCTAACGTGTACAGAACCATAAACCATTAAAACAGGATTGTTGTGGAATTCAAAGAGTTACCTGGTATTAGTCTGTGCATATCAGATAATTAGTAACATTAACTGTAAAATAAGAAACCAAAGTATATCAATAAACTCTCATATTGGTATCAACTATAAACTTCAACAGGATAATCCAATTCCTGATATTCAGTTATGGCTTTTGGTTTTGGTGTCCCACCCCAATATTTTCAGTGGCCACTCCCAGAAAAATTTCTAGGGGCGCCACTGGTTGTAAGCATGGGTTGACTATCTATAAACTCTTCACATTGACTCAGTGGTTGTCCTTTTAAGTTTGAGCAGCTATGACACATATTTTTCTGTGCATATATTTTCCATTTCAGCCATTTTAATCACCGTTTCCTTCATTAGCAGTTTCTGATGATTGGGGTTAATTATTAGACGATGCGTTTATGTTGACAAACCCAGGCTACAGTCCAACCTTGAGCTGCTTTTATAGTGAACTGCTTGAATTCAGAGGTACTGGTGGTCGAGTTAGCTAAAACACAGTGGAGGTTTTGTCACTTTATGCTGCTAATAATTGCCGTTGGTCTCCTTCCATGCATTTAATTAAGTCTGAGTGAGAATAAATTAGAATCACTAATTGGCAAAAACGATCTTTGACCCGTCTCTTTAATTACACTTGGCAATAATGCTGCTGCAACAGAGACATTTACACCATATATCATCTGTGATATAATTAGGGCCATGAGGCAGATGGAAACAAAACAATGTGATGTTCAAACAGGTGACAAGCTGATGGTGAACAATGAACCAAAATAAATTATTTAACAAATTTCCTTTCAAATATACCTGTCAATTTCAAATATTGAATCCTCATCTATCATTTGAATAAAAGTTCTACTATTTGTCATTTGGTGTCCAAGACTTTTAGCTGTAGTGCTTGAATTTAATTAAGAAACTTACAAATTAAATCAAAGGGCATTACCTAGATTCAATGACATTACTGTGAAAACATTAATATTTTTAATAGCTTTATAATTGACAGCTTTTATTGCACATATGCCACTAATAGCTAATCACACTGCCCAAGAACAGCAAGTGACGTACAAGAGGAAAAATACATGTGTATAAAGTACATCCAAAGAAACAGATTTTTCATAATGAAGCAGCTATTCTGGTTTAAGTATAGAACTGCTGAAAAAGTCACGCATTCAAATCTGGCACAAACACAAAACAGTGTGTTTAAAGCACTTTGAAAGCATTCCTATGCTACATCACATTGCTCCCCTTTTATCTAGACAAAAAGTTGTTCCTGTACAGTGCAAAATATATAGTAACATCCTGTAAATATCCATAGAAACATTTTCTCCAGTCAACTGGCAAAACAAAGCACAGTTGTACAAATGCATTTCAGTCAAAAGTGAGCTATCTCTAGTACATTCAGTTACAAACTCACACTGAAAATGATAAGTTGGGTGATATTCTATTTTTTCTTATTGTCAACTAATCCCATGAAGAGACCAAAACTGATAATGACACACTCGTATTATCCCTGCCTCATACTCATGAGAACACTGGTTTAATTCACATGAGAGATGGATTTAATTAAACAAAACATGTCAAAACTGAGATACTTTGCAGACTAAGCAGCTATAAACTTGGAGCATGGTAAAACAGTCACTGAAGTACACCTGATGTTTAAATAAAGTCATTTGCTTACTTATATGGGGTGGTCCTTATTTGTCAATTGTCCAAAAACTATTGAAAACACAGCAGCGAGTCAACTGGTTGCACTGGGTGACATGGTTCTTCATTACAATGAACCAGAGCACTGTAGTTTATTTCTGTCAAACAAACATACCCTGTACTGCTGTCATAAATATTCACTGGTGAACCAAGTGTGTATTCATCCACATCTGAAAATAGTCCCCCAAAAAATGCCACATTTCTCCTATTTGAGGAATGTTTGCTGAAAACTACAGTGCCCAGCTGTTTAAAGAAATTATGGAATCCATTTTGAAATTAAAATATATATCTTCGAAACAGTTTTATTAGCTATGACCAGCACCTCTATAGCTGCTCTGTTGGTTGGCTGGTCAGTTGAGGTTTGCCCTCGAAGGCTACAATTTAGCATGGAGGTTAACGGTGTGTGTGTGCTTGTGTTCATGCCAACTGGCTAAACGTGGGGATGCAATTGGAATGGCCTATCACAATAACATGCATAATAAATGGTGCATCTAAATGGATTCACAAACCTAACTAAGATGATATGGAAAGATTGGTCATGAGCTAAAAGACGGCTGATTAACATTCATGCCATTTGGCCGAAATGGGCAACGCGTGGATGCATGAGCGTACGTAGTTTGTTTGTTTAACATCATCATACATCACTGTGAATATATCTTGTTGCCTAGTAAATCAGGCTGTTTTTATGCACTATTCATACCTATGAAAGTTAATATACCAGTGTTCGTATAACCCATGTAATCATGAGCTTATAATTAGTATATAACCTACATAATTGGGAAGGATGCAATCATACGAACAATGTGCTGACGCAACACTTTTTCACTCCAACCTTGTCACATATCATTGCTTGGTCGTGGAATTTCCACGTCTACATATAAAGATGGTTTGGTTTTACATTCATAGGGGAAGAGAACACCGGCCTCCCGGATGAAAGTCGGCGATTGTTTGACCCACCCACCACCATTCCCACCCACCCGTCACAGACTTTTTGCCCCCTTATCTTACGTTGTTGTCTTGCCGCATTTCCCCCTGACACTGTCAGGCACACTGATGGTGCTCGGCCATGTATCATGTCGACATGAAAGCACTTTTTTTTTCATCAGTGTCTGATGCGGAAAGTCACTGCCCAAGCACCGATATACGACAACTTTGGAATGAGACCAGGTTGGCTGATGGGAAAAAATAAGGAAGTAGTGTAAAGACCAAAAGTCCATGTAAGGAGGCAGGTTGGGGGTGTGGATGGGTCAAAAACACAGGACTTTCCACCAGGAGACCAGTGTTCTTGTCCCTTGTGAAATCAAGTTAAGTATAAGTTATTTTAAGGTACATCATCACCATGTTTCTTTTCACAAACCTAACCTATGTAACTTTACCGTAAGTATTTCACGTTAAGTTGGTTACTTCACATTACGTACATTACGTTCAGTTCATAACTCTACATTATGTGCATAATGTGCCTGACCATGTTTCTTTTGCTAAACCAAACCTACCAAACTGTACTTATACGTAACTTATGGTTAAGTACACAACTTTACATTCAGTATTTGACGTAACAACGCAATTCGTGGGGCGTTAATTCTTAGATATCATAGGAACCGTTGTATGCTAATAATTTAGATGCATAACATGTGGTATTTTTGCAATGTTTGATTGACAATTTGATTCAGGCCGAAAACCTGTGTTGCACATCATACCCCTTAAATGAAGGCAAAAATGCAAACAACAAAACAAATATTAAAAAAATATTAATGAATAAAAATAAATAGATGTAGTAACACAATTTTGGTCTTCTCACGGCACTTGTTGACATTAACAAAAATATAGAACATAACCAGCCTCACCATTTAATATCATGGTGTACATGTTATTTGCCTTTGGCTCCTGTAACTATAGTAGCTCTGAGAGAATTAGACAAAGTGCATCAATATTCAGTGACTGACATGACACTGCGAAATAGTCTAACATGGTCAATACAGAACATGGCAACAATGTGCAGCAGTTGAGCTTTCACACCTAAGAGTAGATTATCCAGAAGCAGGAGCAACACAGTCTTTCCTTCATTTCACGTCTTCACTCCAGCGCCTATCGACCATCGGCTTCGAGCTCTGTCCCTGCGTTTTGTGGCAGAGGAAAGGTCACTACATGTGGATTTGTCAAAAATCATTACAAAGTGGTTGGTACAGTACAAAAGGCCACTTTATACATGTCACTCAGACGGAAGAAGGGGAATGTCTCCAGCTGCGTGGTCCTTCAGTTAGGGATTAATCTGAACCCACGACTTATTCGATGAAATTGATTTGTCTGATCTGTGTGTGCAACTGTGTGGTTTTATGTGCCGATGAATCACAGATCTCTTGTTTACAGATACTGTCTGAGGCCAGCATCTCCACATCGTCCCCGTCCCTCCATATCTGTCTTCCTGTCTTCCCCTTTGCCACCTTCATCCTCCCCCTCATTACTGTCTCCTCATTCTTCTCCACCCACCGTCTTCCTTATTTCTGCTCTCTCTTTGCCCCCCACCCACAATCTGTCCCCTCTATCTGCTCTCTTTTCACTTCCTAACAATATCCTGTCCTCTCCGTCTCTCTCCTCATTCTTTTCCTCCGCCCACCTTCTTCCAAGAGGCAACCTTTATTTTTGGCCCGTGGTGTGTATCTGCCATGTCCGCGCGTTTGCCATTAGCTGATCCTCTGGAGACAGTAGTCGTTCTCTGTGTCTAAAGAGCTGTTATGGCCAGATGAGGGGTACAGGTCACGGCGGAGCAGCCTGTTGACGACAGTAACCAGGACTTTCTTGTACTGCTGACGTAGGAGGGAGTAGGCAAAGGGGTCGGATGCAGCCTTGCTGTATGTCAGGCACTTACTGATGATTCCCCAGTGGCGGTTGATATCCACGAAGGGTAGAAGCTCGGCCAACCTGAAGGGGCGGCAGCAGAAACATGACTAAACAAAGTACATTTTAGTCAGAACTCTTTTTATCTTTGGTCTTTCAAGTGTTTAAAGTTGTAAGAGGATTATGCAAGACTTCAATTTAAGAGTCTTCAGCACATTAGGGACTGTCTGTAAATTATTACAGGAGGTCAAAAGGGGGGTTGAGTCTATTTTCTGAAGAGAGGGTCTTTCTTATTGTGCTTTCAGTCACAGTGGTGATAATTAAAGTAAACTGTTTGTTGGAATATTTGGTAAATAATACTGTTTACCATTATTTCATATACGCAGTTTTGTGGAAACAGTAAAAGATTTTGCTTCACTATTTCAAATTCTTTATACAACTAAATTTTTTATGATTAAACAAATTGCATGAACGATTGTATGGAATGCCTACCAAAAAAATAAATTAAAAAAATCAAACAACAAAATAACATGAAATGCGACACACACACTGTAATGTGTATTTCCTTTTTATCTATACATTTGCTATGTCATACTGAATTTAAAAATATAATGTAAAAGGAGAATTATTTATCATTGTTTTATTTTTTATTTAAAATTAAAATTAAATTTTTAATTTTTGTATTTTTTTTTTAATTTTATTTTTAAGTAGTATCTAATGCCAAGCACTAACATTTTTTACAAGGAGTTGCAGTGGCACATTAAATCTTCCATAGAGCATAAACTAAAAGGAAATACATATAACAATGACCATTTTGTTTTACTTTATTTCTTTGTCTGATTGATTTTGTGGTGGCATTTCAAGTTGTCCATAGTGTTAAACCCGTTTTATACTGTATATACTGTTAGGTACTGCACTTTATTTTATATCAAGGAGAAGATCCATTGAAATGTTTAATAACCACTCCGCAGGGCTTTGGCTTTTTAAAAACTGAACCATAATGTTCAGCCTTCCTTCACACTCCAGTAATTATCATACAGTACTTTATGTTCTGCTAATAAGGTTACCACAGAGCGTGAAGAATATTCCCCTTTTACCCTCAGTAAATGTGCATAAATACTAGTTTAAAAGCAGAGCAGATACATTAGTGGGAATTATCATAGGCCTAATTAGATGTTTTGGTTTCGACAGTCAGTCAGGCTTCCTCCAGTGGGTAAGGTCAGGGGGGTTACTCCAATATCTCAGGCGCTTCTTCCTTGTTAATGTGTCCTCAGTCTTCCCACACATATATGTGTGCACACACCACAAATGTCAAACTGATGGATCATCGCCACCACATCTGGCTGAAAACTGGTTTGTGGGGCCCCTGGAGCGTTTCCTCTTTTCTCTGGGAGCCACTATTTGTTGTCTGCACTGCATTTATTGTCCTGCACTGTGTGTGTTTAAGTGGAAGCAGCATGGCGAGCTATGTGCTTACATGGTGATGCAGGTGAATAATGAGGCAAACGGTAATGGGACTGTGCACTTGGAGTGTTGGATTGTGCCTAATCTGATTCAATGGTGTGACAGATCTGTATCCTCTAGAGGACAACAGCTCTAATGAGGCTGGATGCAGAGATTAGGTTTATGTTATAAGATGGGTCATTTATCTTTTGTGTTGTTGTAGGGAGTTTTGCAGTAAATTAAAAGATTCATGGGCTACTATCAATTCAACTTACCTTGTAATTACATAAGGAGCAAAGCAGATGATGAATGAGCCGATGAAGATGCTTATCTTCTTTGTGGCTCTCTGCTTTCTCCTCTTTTGCTCTGCTAAACATCTCTGTTTCACGCTGAAAACAGCAAAAGACTTTTTAGACTATGAATTGTGAACTGAATGAGACAACTTGGTTTCACAGGCTATACATGAGCAATGCATGTGGTGAGCTACCTTGGGTGAATGTCGACCAGTAGGAAAAGAGTCTGCATGGTGATAATGTCAATCCTCTTGCAGTGAAACCTGGCGACTTTCAACACCTTCAAGTAGGTGAAACACAATATGAGCAGGGAGAGCATGAAGCTGGTGGCGTGGAAAACGACGGTGAAGATTGTAAACTTAATCCTGTCGGCGCCCTCCTGGCTCGGCTGCAGGGTGCAGGACGCGTACACGTCGTTGTAGTCGACCCAGGAGAAGAGCAGCGCGGTGAGGGAGAAGGTGAAGGAGTGGAGCCAGGAGTAGCACACCATGATCAGCGCGTCCTTGTAGCGCATCTTAGTGGAGTAACTGAGCGGGAACACCACCGCTATCCACCGGTCTATGCTGAGAGCCGCCATGCTCAGCATGGTGTTGGCGGTCAGGAAAGTCTCCAGAAAGCTCACCGTGTGGCAAATGCAATCCCCAAAAGGCTGCTGGTCCCTGATAATCCCCACCAGAGTGGCCGGCATGTTGAGAACAGTGATGAGTATGTTGCAGAAGGACAAGTTCATGGTGAAGACGCCGGGCACCTGTCGGCGTATCTCGGTGCTGTGGACGAAACATAGCAGCACCAACAAGTTGGACAACAGCGAGACGACCGCGACCACGACGATGAACAAAGCGAAAATGGTTTCAGCAAAGTCCATGTCTCACTCCAGAACTCTCGTGTTACCTGCGCCTGATGTTGGTAATGAGCATTTCAAATCAACCATGGTCACCCGTCGCTCATCTCTCCAGCTGCTGCCCTCCAAAAAATTCTTTTCAATTAAATCCTCATGCGTCCGCGCGCCGCCGTCCTCTCCAACTTCCACGAGCGCTGTCCAGCGTGCTGAAACGAGCCGCCGCCAACATCTCTCTCCTTCTCTCACCTCAAACTTGTCGATTATTTCCCATTAGCATCCGACAGGTGCAGGCGGAGAGCTCTGCAAAGTGAAGTGTGTGGCATCATCGCGCAGATCTGGAAGGGGACTGAGGAGGACCAGGGTGCATATTGAAATAAATGATCACACACATCACGTGAAGCCACGGTGATCACACGCAGGGAACAACTTGTCCTAGTCACAAAACACCCAAACTCACACCTACTTTCCTACATATCGGAGTATTTCTCTGTTTGTCCTCCGCCTGTTGTTTGATTCCTGTGCGCATACACAAATCGCATTAAGTTATTCACGTGCGAGTTTGTGGAGTCGTCCGCATTGATCACAGCTCACCCCAAATCAATGTAGATCAGGAGGAAAAAGAGCGCACAGAGATCCAGGGATGTGCTCCTGGATAATTGGAGACGCTCCTGCCGTGACCAAATGGCACCAGGTGCACACGCGCGCCAGAGAGGCACGGGGGCAAATAGATAGCTTTTCCTGAAATGAATTATTTATAGCCCCGTGGCTACTGTAGATTCACTGCGCACCATCATAATCTGTGTCTGGGATGCAAAATATACAACAGGACTGTCGTTTACAAGAGAATGCTGCTGTTTGTAGACACAAATCACAGTTTGTGTTTTATCTTTGGTCAATATAACTTTGTACTGACATGGAACTGAAAGTTAATGGTTTGTATCTACTTTAATTTTTAAACTGAACAGTCAAAACCCCTTTAATTAAGCAACTCATCAATCAACAAAAGAAAATACTGACATTGCAACATAATAGTAATAATAATAATAATGATAATAATAATGTGGCTTGATGCTTAGGGGTTGTGTTGTGTTTTGCTCATGGTGCTCTGTTGTGTGTTGGTGTTACGTGTAATACATGAGTGGGTGATGTGGAATACTGTTATGTGTAGTATGTGTTTTTTTAAGGTATTTCTTCTGGACTAATATTGTAAGGCAGCAATATTTGTGCAGCTCCTGGGTCCAAGACAAATTTTCCTATGGGGACAATAAAGTATATTATATCGTATCGCATCGCATCACATCGTATTGTATCGTATCATATCGTATCGTATGCAACACCCAATCCCTTCTACCTCTTCATGGCACATTGAAAATAAGTTGAAAATAAGTTGCTTTTTATTTTAAAGGTGCACACAGACGAAAAAATGTGAGTCTCTCCCACCCCCTGTTCCATCTTCTCCTGAACCACACTGATAGGTGTAGCTGCACTTATCCTTGCAGCTGAAATTTTCTGAGATAATGTCCAGTAGATAGCTGAACCTATCAAATTTCGTGGCGATATCAATAGTAAAGGTTGTTTATACTTAATTGTGTCAATACATATCATTAGTGGGCTACAGTTCCTGTTGTATCATTATTTTAACCCAATCTTTTACCTTTTCTTTGTTGTCGTTGTTGCCCTTTCCAGAGGTGTGGACTCAAGTCACAAATTTAATGACTTAAGATTCAACTTGAGAAAATAAAAAAAAGACTTGCAACTCAACTTGGACTTAAACACCAATGACTCATGACTCCACATTGACATGAGCCACTTGACTAAAATATACTCGATACCTTCACCCAAGCCCAAAGATAGCCTGTAGTTCATGTGTGAAAAAATGGTGGTCAACAAAAACCAAACTGCAGTATGCAAAATGTGCAGGTTGAAAATTGCACATGACAATGCACAACTTCCAATGTTGTTTGACATTTAAAGTTGCACAAATAATGCTAAGTCGAAGCTACTATTAACATAGCCAGCTAATGCTCAGCTAATGTTTGACAGCTAAGTGAATTTTCAACAAACTTGTTTTAACAAATAGGCTTAATGCAAATACATTAAAACTGTTATTATGTTTATTGAAGAGCACACACTGACTTGTTTAGGACTCAAAACTTAAAGTTTAGGACTCAGGACTTGCCTGTCTTGACTTGAGACTTGAATGCAAACACTCGGCACTTACTTTTGACCTTCAAAACAATAACTTGGTACCACCTCTGCCCTTCGCCATACAAATACCCAGCATACATAAAACATACATATATATAAAAAGATAAGGGAAAGAGGAAGAAGAAAAATATATACATACAAACATACAGTACACATTTTTTTAAGGGAAAAATCAGGCATGATGTTTCATTACTGAAGTAGTCTTACTATTACTACTTCAGTTTTCTGTTACAGTTTGAAATGATTCCTCAAATACTCTTGTCAACACAATATTTGATATTTCTTTATTTTATATGTCGAATATATAGTTATTCAAATATTAATAATAGATTTTCAGAGGTTAAGGGCACAGTTCATAGTATGGTTGTATCTCTATATACAGCCTAAATTCAATGTCCTTATTTCTTGACTTTTAGGAAGACTGATTTTAAATGGGGAAATGTTTTTTTAATGTGTTTATTAACAAAGGTGGAACCAAGTCATTGTTTTGCAAGTCATTAGTAAGTCTCAAGTCTTGGTCAAAACTGACAAGTCCCAGGTCCTAAACTTTTAGTTTCAAGTCCTACTTAAGTCATAATGTGCTCTTCACCACTTTGACAACAGAGTAATGATATATAAAATTTACAAGTCATGATTGCCTTTTAAAATTTGTACTTATTTGTAAAAACAAGTTTGTTAAAACAAGTGCATCTCAACTTAACCATATAAAAGTAGTGTTGACATTGCACTCACATATAGTACCATTAATCAGTACGAAAACTGAATGAATTCTGTAAGTTTCTCCCCCGTGTATCTATTTCATCTCATATATTGGACAAATGTCTATAACATTCTCTTCCCAGTTGGGCTTTGGAGAAGGTATCAAGTATTTTCAAGTCAAAAGGCTCAAGTCCAAGTAAAGTCACAAGTCATTTTTGGCTAACTACAAGTCGAGTTGCAAGTTTTTTTTGTGTTGTCGAGCTGAGTCCATGGTCATCAAAATTTTGACTTAAAATTTGAGTCACGTCTGACTCCTGAGTCCAAGTCATGTCCACACCCCTGGTGTTTAATGTGTCATTAAGTGACTTGAAAAGTGGGACCACCCTTTTTCCAACCACTTTTTGTTCTTATTGATTTTGTAATTTACCCCAGGTCGAGAATAAAATTCATCTGTCATTTCTCGGCATCAAACATACCAGCCATAATTTACAAGTGTTCAAAAAAGTTGAAAATAGGTTTGGAAAACCCACTTTTATTTTACATTCATCAGAAACAAGAATCCCACATGGAAAGCCTCATTTACTCTGTCAGACTTTTCATCTGTTTTCTCCTCCGCAGTAACCATTTTACCACAGTTTCTTTAGTTTTTTATGTCTGTGTCCATATAGCTCCAAGATGCATCATTGTGGAATAAAGAAACATCAAAAAGAAAAAGGACTGTGCTATAAAAACAGATTAGCTCTAGGACATGAAAACCACTGTTCATTTTAATTCATGGCATAAAACACTGAGCATTAAAATCCAAATTGGAGTAACACGCTGCAGCAGGCAACACAAGTGCACTTCAGAAATGTTTGTGCTCGTTACTGAGTCATGCCCAATTCTGGAGAAGCCGGAGTAGACAGTGACTCACAGGGTCAGACACAGCCTGCAGGGGTTTTGTATATCTTTTCTCGTTTTCATTGCCTCATACTCCCACTTGTTATGAGGCTTATGGGCTTGTGCCTGGATCCCCATCCGATCCAATTAAGTGCACTGTTTTATTTATGTAAGAGTGGTACAGTATCAGAGAATTCACTCTGCTCGGGGGCCTGCTTTGCTCGTGGCAATGATAGATGAGTATTTAAAGTCATTAGGTGAGTCATCATTAAATGCAGTTTAGGGATACCCTGAGGCGAACTACCTGTGAAGTTAAAAGCATCATAATTACAGCAGCTGATGAGTGTCTGTCTCACGTAGGCTACTATATTTCAGCAGTACGTTAGTGAAGGCGTGCAAGTGTCAGCGTGTGCTTTCTGGAGTCAGAGAGTCAGAGAGACAAAACGTCAGTGGGTGATGTCAGTCCCCTACAAACAAGTGATCAAATGCCTGGGAGAAAGCTACAGCTGGGCTCCTGGGCGATAAAGTGCAAAGCTATTTATAGGCCTGATGTGGTGTCACCTCCAGTATAACTCTCAGCACCGGTGTATTACCTAACCTGAGGTATCAGAGCGAAGCACTGAACACTGCTCCAAAACCGCAAATGAGATTGCTTTTAGAGGATGCTTTTATGTGTGTTGAGTAATCAGCCACTGCAGTTTTAGGTTTCCTCTAAAACGCTTCAAAGACCTGTAGCAGTCTAGCAAATGAATTCAAATGCTGCAAGATATCGGCTGATTATCAACCACGGCTCACGGAGTCACACAGACCAGCCAACTCCACGTCTTTGTCTCTACATCCAGAAATAAACTAAAGCTGGTTTATGTGGTAATAACAAAGCAGGGAGGAGGCTGATCTCCAGCTCTGAGTTTGGACAAAATACAACAAATTGCAACTGGTTATGAGTCAGAGTCAGTCTCAAGCACAAAGAGGAAGGAGATCCTTTAGAGATAAGACGAGCCACATGCTCAGTATAGGTACACTTAGGAAGAAATGCCCTTTATGTGACTGTATGATGCCCCAACAATTAACATTAGGACTGCAACTTATCATTATTTTTGACTTATTTGTTGACGGAGCAGTTTTTTATTGTGGAAAATAAACAACAGAAGGAGGGAAAATGTGGTAATGTGCTGCCGTGACAGTATGAAAAATAATAAAGAGTGTTGCTGTCTTGGTTTACACTGGTTCAGAGCATGGAGACTCCTTGTATATGTGTTAACACCACTTGATTGCCACTCTTGGTTGTACTTTACTGTAAACCACGTTAGCCATTAGCTGTCCTCTCAAGTTAGTGAGCAAAACCTTAAAGGGTGAATATTCGCGAGTTGCAAAATATTTTGATATTCGATTAACTTCGATTTCCTGCTTTTCTCTGCCCTCTATTATTGTAAACAGAATATAAATGGTCTTTAGTCTGTTGGTCAGCCATAACAAGCTATTTGAAAATGTTTTGTACTTGTTAAACTGAACAAAGTGCTGACTAACAGTAAAAGCAACCAACTTTTTTATGCTGATGACACAGTGATAAATTGTGCTGGCTCATCCATCACAGAGGCTGTGGCCAAATTGCATGCTGCCTTTAACGTTATCCAGATTCAGCTCTCACAACTCAAGTTGGTTTTAAATGCTCATAAAACTGAGGTTATGCATTTCTCAAATGCTAGGAAGAAGCCTGTGATCACTCCTGATGTTAGGGAAAGAAGTTAGAGGTTGTCACTTGTTACAAATGTCTCTGTATTTAGCTTGACGAGTCTCTTTCTTTTAAACCTCAGGTTGATAAACTTCTCAAAAAGCTGAGGCTGACGTTTGGGTTTTATTTAAGAAGCAAGTCCTGTTTC